AAACGCTAAGTCAGTGGTGCCAAACTCAATTTCATTGAGGGCCGCATCAGGGTTGTGCTTAATTTCGGGGGACTGGGATGGGCGTGATGTCACTCAATGTCCAGGAGGGGCGCCTGTGGTTCCCAGGCTCTCTGCCAGCAAAAACAGGCTCCCGAGCTCCATTTTCAGGTGCGAAGGCCTCCTGCAACCCTCTGCCAGCGAAAACGGAGCTTCGGGGGGGGGGAACCACGTGTGGCCCTCGTGAGCTCTGTTTTCTGTTGGCAGAGGCACCGTGGGCCGGTCCTTTGCTGTTTCCAGAGCGCCCCCAGGCCTTGAGCTTGACACCTCTGATCTAGGTGGTCAATCAATCTTTGTTCTGAGCTTCCAAAGTAGCTTTCTAGAGGTGTGTTTTATGGATGGGGACTATGGTCCTATTTCCAATCACACACCATGCAAGGTGAGTTAACAACAGAGGTATCTATCTTCCACACTTGGACCCTCCACCACCATCTAACCCCTACCTGGATGTCCACCTCGTTGCTACATTTGCTGGATTTCAGGCACGAGAGCGGGCTCAGTTAGTTACAGGAAAAGGATCCAATTTAAGCATTTGAAAACACAACGGTGCGGGGAAAGAAATGGGAGCGGGCGACACGCATCCTTCAAAATCCATCCGCACCTCAAGTCGGCTTCTTGTCATGTGTGAAGCACCACAAAGAACGGGTGGCAAACGTTGACACTCGCCATGTTTAGCTACAGAGTTTGGAAGGGAAGGTATGGCGTACCCCAACCAAGTCAGCACCAAAACAGAAATAAAAAGCCGGTATGTCTTAAGATTTATACCCGCGTTGACATCTAAAGAACCTGGCCAGCAAGTCCACCACAAAAACAATCTCATCGACCCAGCTCTGAGCAAAAGAGGACGGCCTCCCCCTAACCCCAACCCCTATCCCACCCCCCGATGCCAAAACAAGTCAATGGTTTCAGCCTCACGAGCGGGCGTTTTTACAAAAAGGCACAGGAGACCAACAAGGGTCCATTTTGCTTTTAAAAATTAAATAGCTCCACTTTACGCCTCGTTTTTTCGTTCCAGCTGGACAGGGTTCCCTCCACCTCCTTCCTTCCTTCCTTCCTTCCTTCCTTCCTTCCTTCCTTCCTTCCTTCCTTCCTTCCTTCCTTCCTTCCTTCCTTCCTTCCTTCCTTCCTTTCTTTCTTTTCTTTCTTTCGCATCTCAATTCTACGAAAGCATTTAATATTAGGGCAAGTAGGAAACTCACAAGTGACGGCGGGCGGGCTTGAGACCTAGGCGAACAGCCCTTTCCCCAACCCCCCAGGAGGAAGTCACCCGGTTGGCTTTCTAAGTGGCACACGGTCCCAAAAATCTCACGGCAGAGACACATCCTTAAAGCTAACAATTACAAGCTACCAGACCCATCTGAGCTGTTTGGCTACAACTGAACACGGCCATAATTGGTATTAAAAATAAGATTGCATCAAAGCTTATTTTTCAAAACATTCTTTCTCTACAAGACGGGTTTGTAAGACAAAGCTGAATCGGTATTTTAGAGCTGGTTTTCTTATAAAACGATTCCTGTGATAAGACTTGAAAGCACTTCCGTTCCTTATATTCCCCCTCCCCATCCAGCCCCTGTTTTCAAAAGCTATTTGTCTTGGTTCTCACGGAAAATTATCTGGGATCTCTGCAAAAATGAAATCATTCACCTGAGATATCAGTGTGGGGTTATAAGAATCACTGCAGGAAAGAGCTACCGAGAAAGTCGAATCCTTTTGTGTTTCCATTTAGAGTTTTGGTTTCTGCATATATTATCATTATTATTGAGGGGGGACAAGACCCAGGTTCCTGTGCATATTCAGAGCGCCCTATGTTTTCAAAGTGCATTGTCAGTTTTTCACAAAATAATTATAATAATAATAGTAACACCCCTTCTGTTCCCCGCTTGACATATTGAGCAATTAAACTATTGAGCCATTTTTTTTTAAAGGATTACGGTTATGGAAAGTTTAAAACAAGAACGAGAGAATGCATTTCTCCCCTCTATCGAAGCAAAAATTCATCCGATGCTTTCAAAAACTCATTCCTTCCGCCCTGGATGATGCGTACATAAACAGTAACTGTGGATGTAACTATCTGCACATTGAGGGATCTGTTTCAGAAGTTGGTGGTAAAGCCACCAAGACAACAAAAGCACTGCCCAGTAGCACCTAAATCCAGTGGATTGTTACTTTAGCCTGTTGCAAGCTGGCAGGCATTACAAGACTGCTATGAGACTGGGCGGCTGTAGATAGGAAGAAAAGAAAAAAAAGAAAAGAAAAAAAGAAAGATTCCATTTTAGCCCAGCTCTCTCTGGCTGATGCCTTTTGAAGATTATGGGGAAATAAAAAAAAAGTAGTAAAAATGTAAACACAACTATTCATTTAAGTGCTGCCTGGAAAAGAAAGCTATTTAAAACAGAATTTTAATAGCAGGAATGAAATCCTAGTTTATATGTGTACTGCCTTCTTCCTATTATAGGATGGGCTTTCTTCCCTCTGCAGCTCATAACCCAATAATCTGCTGTAGTAGTTTGAATTCAAAAGGGAGAGAAATTTTACAGTAAATACTTTGGTTCTAACGCTCCTAATTCGTACTCCCCATAATTACCCATGAACTATATTCGTAATGATCCTTTGATAGATGCACTTTCCCAGTTTTATAGGCAGTTTTCCAAAAACGAAAAAAGGCATTGGAAATCAGTGACATAACGTCAAATATATCTGATAGTAGTAGGGAAACATTGTGCACATAATGAAAAATGCACAACCAAAAGGAGAAATGTGTACAGGATTGAGTGATGTCTCATTTTAATTTGAAAACAGGATGCGATGGACTTGAAAATGGTTTCTCTCCCCTTTCTGGTCTCCCAACCTGACAATTGTTTTCCACTTCTATCCTGAATGCCATGGAGCAGATTTTATGATATCTGAAAAGCTGCAGAGAGAGATGGCCCTCCCAGGAGAAGGAAGGAAGGAAGGAGGAAGAGGACGAGGAAGAGGAAAGGTGAAACAGATTTTTTTTTTACTTTGTTTGTTGTTTTCTTTCTTTTCTTGGAGTAAACATTTTAACTTTGAAAATAAAATTGAAAAACTTATCAAAGAAAGGAGATGCTGTAATGTTGCTTAGCAAAACAGAGTGACCCCCCCCCCAAAAAAATAATAGTGCCTTAAATCTCTTTTTTCTTCTCTTAAACCTATTAAGCAGCTGGAAGTTGCAGCTTACAAACTTTTTAAGACATTCTGCACACACCCTGAAAATCTCTCCCCGAAAACCCGTTTGTCAGGTGCATCTGTTTGGCAAAAGGTGGCACAGCTTTCCAGAGCTGCAGTCATCAACTGGCATAAAATGTGCACTAGGGCCTTAAACGTGTTTTGGGGGCATTGATCCCACTCAGCCAACATCCATTGGTCTGAGCAAAGCCTAAGATTCCGAGCTTAGCTTAATCGCATTTTCAACATTTCACTCAATGGAGGTCGGGAACGCTTTCTCTTCTGCTGATGGCAGCACTGCTCTTCAGAAGGAAATAAAAACTGAATCATAGAAAGGTTTCAAGAAAGATTTAAAAAAAAAAAAAAAAACATGCCTGGGAAAATTAGGACTTTTTTTTTTAAAGTCCCATCAGACTGGAAGAGGAAATAAGCTTCCTGACCCACAGTACTTTAGTAGTGTTCCTATTGTCCTTGTCAACAGTGCAACGGTAGCTTTGAATATTTGGTCTGATAAGTCTTGTGCACGCTTAAGAGAAACTTGTATTCCTACCAGGCCTCTGGAGGGATTGTCTTCTTCAGAGCGAACGGCCAAACAACAGATCTCCTTCCTTCCATTTCTCTGACTCAGATGATCCAACAGAAAATAATAATAATAATAATAATAATTTATGCGCTTGAAAAGTATCACAAAACTTCCTTTTGATGTCTAAACTACAGCCTGTGAATTCTCCAAAATCCTTCCAAGATACAAGGGGGGGAAATGATATAAACACCAAGTACATCCCACCTCTGCCACACAAGGTAGTTGCATAATCCTGTTTTTTTTTTGTTTTTTTTTTAAAGGGACAACACATCAGGTCCAGTTCTCCTTTGTTCACTTCAAGGAGATATAATAAACAAACCTCGTTAAAATGAACAAAGGAACCTGCTAAAAGCTACGGTGGGTGAATTCGACCCAAATCCCTCTCGTCCACTTTAAAACTCCACAGCATTCTTCAGTTTCTGATATGTTAAACAGAACTATGTTGAGCACTCTTTAGTAAATAAATATAAATAGCATCTATACTATCATGTTAATACTGTGAAACACATACAAATTTTACATTAATTCAAACATAACAGTGAAAGAGATTGTACTGTATCACCACAGACCCGTATTCTTTAGAAAAGCTTTGGAAAATTAAGTGTCACAGTCCTAGAGGACAAACTCCATGATTAGTAATCAAAATGGATTATTATTATTTTTTTAAGAAAAAATAAACTTTTTTTTTTTAAAAAAAGTGGCACACTTCATTAATCTTTCAGTGGACCTAATAAAAAGTATAGATAAAACTTCTTTTTTGTAACTGAAATAAATTCCGTAACTCATCCTACAAAAATTTTTAAACAGCACAATGAAAGACATTCAAGAATTAACGTCAAAAATACATATTTTTTTTTGCCCATAGACCTTCACAGACTTATCAATAAAGACAGCAAAGGATTCGCTCACTCCTTCTGCATCTCGGTACAAAATCACGACTTCACTGGCATCCAAACTAGTGCTTTTTGTTTTTGTTTTTTTTAAAGGAATAAAAGCAAATTCATTTTTTCCCCTCCCAGGCCCATTCCATCGGATCTTATAACTGGGTATTTCTTCAGATTATTACGAATAAGAGCATCTGAAAAAGTCATAACTAAAATGAGAAGTGTTGTTTTTTTAGCCCTGAGATCACAGCTCTAGTTAATTAGAAAACGTGGGTTTTCAATTTTGTTTGTTTTCGTTTCTCCCAACAAGCAGCTTTTGATTTTGGCATATCCACATGTCTTAAAAGCTGTGCAATTCTTTTTGTACCCTCAAGTCTGAAATTCTGGATGAAAAGCTTTCTTGCAAATAGAATCACAATCATCATCATCATCATCATCGTAATCATCATCAGCCCCTCCTTTCCCCCCCACCCCCCAAAAAATTTAAAAAATAAAGATGCATCACTCCTTTGCTGGCTGTTGCGGTAGCTCGGGCAACTGTTGGTCTAAGTGCAGCTGGTCTCTTGTGAATCCAACTCAGAACTGAGTTCCTCAACACGGCCAGAGGTCAAGCAAAGTACATGGTGCGCAAAGTATCTTGGTGGACCTGGACAGCTTTCGCGAGAGCTTGGTGATCGCGCCCGTTGCTCTGCCCAGAAGTGTGGCTCCCTTCGGCGCTGATGGGGGGGAAGGAAGGAGAAAAAAACACAGATTTAAACCAGAGTCTGAAATGCCTAGGGAGATTCTCCGTCTGTGATGACCCAGGGCGTGGCACCAAGGCAACACAGTCAAATAAGCAAGAAGTGTCCCTTTAATACCTCCAACTTTGCCACCGATGTCCAGTTACCTTCGTCTGGAGAAAAAACTCTCCCAAAAATAGTCTTTAAGTGGAGGAAATTCAGTCCGAAAACAAAGTACATACAAACTGTAAATAAAAATCCACACAAACCACACTGCAGCAATTAACTGGACAGGGCAGGATAAGGAATTGCAGACTTCAAAGGCAAACAAAGCACACACAGTTTGGAAGACGCCAGGAACCCAGATAAGACTTGATGATACCAAATAATTCACAATTTGCTCCCAACAACTTGTTGTGCGCAGCTTCCCTTTTTAAACACTGTTTTCCCAGATGCAGCTAATGAAGGGAATCAGGGCCCTTTCCTCCCCCGTAAGGCACACAACTCACGTTGCTCTCTTCTCTGTTCCTCCCTGTGTATCCTAGGATGAAGAAGGGGTGGGCCTGGGTCTTCCTCCAAATTCTCTTGCTCTACCTCTCCCCTGCTCTGCCCAGCAGGACTGTGCCCTTCCCCAGTTTCTTCCACAACCAACGGAGCCACACTCCCACTCCCTGCCAGCTGCTCAGCCTCCCCCTCCAAATCAGATTCCGACAGGGACATGACATCGTGATCCAGGTCAGGGTTGTCCCAAAGGTGCTTTTTTCAGGAGGCAACTGGGCTTCCTGGTTTTTCTTTGAAGAGGTTTCGCTTCTCATCCAAGAAGCTCCTTCAGCACTGTCTGGATGGTGGGGAATGGGAGGATTGATACTCCTTGCAGACAGCTGGTCATTTGCATTCTTTTTGAGAGTCGTTGAGGTCACCTGTGTCCTCAGGGTCACCTGAGTAGTGCAAATGGGTGTGGAACAGTTCCCAGAAGGCTCCATACTGATTTGCACTACTCAGGTGACCCTTGACGACACAGATAGTGTGGCTTCAATGACTCTCTAAAAAGAACGCAAATGACCAGCTGTCTGCAAGGAATATAAACCTTTCCATATCCCACCATCCAGTCAGAGCTGAAGAAGCCTCTTGGATGAGAAGCAAAACGTCTTCAAAGAAAAAGAAGAAAGTCTAGTTGCCTCCTGAAAAAAGCACCTTTGGGACACCAAGACCGAAATCCATCTCCAAGCATTCAAAAGTATGGGATTAGTGCAGAGTTACATGTTAAACATTTTAAGCTGTTGTTAATATTATACAATTTGATGCAGATTTAAAATTAGTCTCCCTCTTTCTCAGCAAAGGCCATCGTATTTTTATTTTATTATTTTACAGGTAGTCCTCAGCTTACAAGCACAATTTTGATCATGTGACTATGGGGATACTGCAATGGTTGTTAAGTGTGAAAAATGGTCATGAGTCACTTTTTTCAGTGCCGTTGTAACTTTGAATGGTCACTAAGTGAACTGTTGTTAAGTGTAGGACTACCTGTATTTTATGTTAGTTTATTTAAAACATTACCGTATTTACCGGACTATAAGCCGCTACTTTTTTTCCCACGCTTTGAACCCTGCGGCTTGTACAACAATGCGGCTTATCTATAGATTTTTCTTCGCTAACTGCCATCAGGGGGCGCAAAAATATGACAGACCAAGAGTTCAATGCAAAGAAGAAGACACTACCGGTAGTTTTTGGCGCACTCGACACAAGCAGCCCGACATGCACGAACGCAAAATATTTTTCACACCCTCATCATGGAAAGTACACGAAGAAAAGCATATGACTTTTCTTGCTTTTAAGTTGAAAGTAATCGATCTGTCTATCCAGGAAGGAAATAGAGCTGCTGCACGTAAGCTTGGCATTAATGAATCAATGGTGAGACGTTGGAGACATCTGGCCGCATGCGAAGAGCATTCTCCTCTTTCTGTGTAAATATCTCATTTCACAACGTATATATCTGCGGCTTATAGTCAGTCTGGTGCAGCTAATATATGTAAAAATATTTTTTTTCTTTTAAAATTTAGTGGGTGAGGCTTATATTCCGATGCGCTCTACAGTCCGGTAAATACGGTATATAGCCACTTCTCTTTCAACTAACTCTGGGCGGCTCCCAATTAGAAACTAAAACAATAAAAACAATGAAATCATTTTATAGCTATAAAATCCCATTAAAACATTCCAAAAAAAAAAAAGAGAGAGAGAAAAACTCTGGAGGCAACCAGTTCTGTTTTCTTTATTTTTGTACTCTGCCCAGACAGAAAAAGGAGCTCTGAATTTGAATTTCTTCTTCCCAGAATGATTCGTTCAGACTCGTAGCTAGACTTACCTGTGGGTGGCTTGAGATAGTCCTCAACTTATGACCACAATTGAGCCCAAAATTTCCATCGCGAAGCAAGACAGTTCTTAGGTGAATTTTGCCCCATTTTGTGACCTTTCCTGCCACAGTTGTTAAGTGAATCACTGTAGCTGTTAAGTTAGTAACATGGTTGTTAAGTGAATCCGGCTTCCCTACTGACTTGGTTTCTCAGAAGGTTGCAAAAGGGGATCACTTGGGATCCTGCAACCGTCGTAAATATGAGTCCTGGGACCCTGCCACTGTTGTAAATATGAGCCGGTTGCCAAGCGGTTGAATTTTGATCACATGACCACGGGGATGCTGCAATGGTCCTAAGGGTGAAACACTGGTCATAAGTCCCCCTTTTTTGGGTGACTGATGTTGAAACGTCAAATGGTCAGTAAGAGAACAGCTGTAAGTCAAAAACTCCCTGCATTCATTTGACCAAACTATGCCCCTATGCCTCACCTGTCGTGCTCTTTATCCACCAAATGATACCTGGCTCTGAAGGCCACCAGGTGTGCATAGTAGGCTGGCGCAGGGATGGAAACAGATCGAGTACACCGGACGTAGGTATGACATAGTTGGTAAGTGAGGATCTGGAGTTCGTCTGAAGAGAAGCGATTGTCATCCCAGAGAACGTGGTAATGAGATGGTCTGCTTGTGCCCTGGAAATGGACCACAAACAAGGTTAAGGAAAAATCTCCATCTCTCCACCGGTCAACCTTCTCTTGGCAAGAGGTCCACTCCAGACTTCCAGAAAATGCCCAGAAGCAGCATTTCTATTTTGAAGGATGAAAATAACCAACGAGCACTGAGAACGTGGTTCCTTTTCTATGGCTCTTAATTAAGGTCATGGAAAATCAAAGGACTCACTCCATACCCAAAGGTGCTTTTTCAGGAGGCAACTGGACTTTCCTGTTTTCTTCTTTGATTTCACTTCTCATCCAAGAAGCTTCTTCAGCTCTGACCAGATGGTGGAGAAAAAACACAGACTACAGGAACCAAGAGCACCACTCAGGCATCCCTGAGGACACAGATAATCCTCCAAGTGGCCTCAACGGCCCTCTAAAAGGATGCAAATGACCAGCTCTCTGCAAGGAATATAAATCCTTCCAATCTTCTTCACTATCCTGTCAGAGCTGAAGAAGCTTCTTGGATGAGAAGCAAAATGTCTTCTAAGAAAAAACAAGAAAGTCCCGTTGCCTCCTGAAAAAAAGCACCTTTGGGACAACCATGACCTGGATAACTGAGAATCACTACAGATCCAAACTATAGATAGCCTTCTGTTGATTCAGCCTTCCATCCTTCCAAGGTCGGTAACATGAAGACCCAGATTGTTGAGGGCAAGATGCTGACTCTCTAAACTGCTTAGAGAGGGCTGTAAAGCACCTTGAAGCGGTATATAAGTCTTAAGTGCTATTGCTATATGTGAAATCATCACATGTGTAGAGAAGCTGTACATGAGAATCACAATATAACTTTCTGCCTCGTTTATTACTGACATCAGAGGTAAGAGAAGCATGGGATAGAATCAACATGGAAGATGGAGGGTAAATTCACAGGGTCTGAAAGGGAGTGACTGCAACGAAAACAATAACTTGTTTGCTCAGACCGAAATGTATACTTTGGTTTAAATGCATAAATGAACTGTAGTATAGATAGATAGATAGATAGATAGATAGATAGATAGATAGATAGATAGATAGATAGATAGATAGATAGATAGATAGATAGATAGATTAGATGATAGATAGATAGATAGATAGATAGATAGATAGATAGATAGATAGATAGATAGATAGATAGATAGACAGACATAGATGATACATACAGACAGATATAACAATTGAGAGATAGATAGATGATAGATAGATAGATAGATAGATAGATAGATAGATAGATAGATGATAGATAGACAGACAGACATAGATGATACATACAGACAGATATAACAATTGAGATAGATAGATAGATAGATAGATAGATAGATGATAGATAGATAGAGAGACAGACAGAGATAGAGATGATAGACAAACAGATAGATGATAAACAGACATAGATAAGATATAGATACAGATACTGTAGACACACACACACACATGCTAATTCAGAACTGCAAACAGACTTTCAGAACAAAGGGCATGTGCTCACTCAGAATGTAGACATAGTATGATCAAAGCATTTGCAATATAAAACTCTACTTCTCTCTCTCTTAACTATTTTTATTTGGAATTCCTGAAAACTTGTTGAGTGGGGAGGAAATTCTTTCCTCTTCTCTGATCCAAGGGAACCCTTTCTCTCCTTTCACGCTGCACAGAAGAGACTGAAAGTAAGTGTCATTTACACTAAAAGCTAGAGAAGTGGAACACGTTCAACCACATGCACAGGCAGATGAGAAGGATCTGACCCAGAGCCGATGACACCCAGGAGGTGGTGCATCCATAAGATACCTGAATACCAGCATGACTACACAGATAGAAGTCAAACTCCGAAGGGTGGGTGATTTTTGTGTCCACAGTGGTGCCTGCTGGAATGTTTCCACTTTTCCCAACCTGTGGAAATAAAACCAAAGGATGGAAGAATTGTCACATTGTGACGCCAAAAAAGAATTAAGTCAAAAAGTTGTTTCATTAAAAGTCTGCTATTACTATTAATCCTCCCATCCTTCCTTTTACCCAACTCCTCCCACTTATGACTGTATGACTGTAACTTTGTCGCTTGCATCGTAATGATTTATATTGACTGTTTCCTAGTATGATTCGATTGCTTATTGTACCTTATGACTATCATTAAGTGATGTACCTGATGATTATTGACTCTTGACAGATGTATCTTTTCATTTATGTACACTGAGAGCATTTGCACCAAAGACAAATTCCTTGTGTGTCCAATCACACTTGGCCAATAAAAAGTTCTATTCTATTCTATTTGCCAATTTTGAGGTCCCAGTAATAGGGCAGGTTGATGACTAGCGATTTCTTATTTCATCACTTGCCAACTTATCTCCCCCACCCCACAAAATATGCAATACTTACTCTTTCATTTTTGTCGGTGCAAAAGAGCCTGGTGTGATGCCTCTTCTGCACCACAATGAACGTAATCCCTGGCTGGTAATCTTTTTCTAGCTTAATGCAGGCTTCTCGGATAGCCAGCAATTCATGATGAAGAACCTGCACCAAGAAAAACGGGAGGGAGAGGGAAGGGATAGCTTGAAACGTTACCAATAGGAAAACTTCTTCCTACCCTGTTTATTTATTTGTTATCTTCCTTCAGGTATTTTTCATCACCTGCAGCAAAACAGGTGATCTGAAGCATGTAAAAAACACCAGGACCAGCCCCACATTCTTGACTTAATGAGGTTAAACTGGCAAGATCAGGGATCTTTAAAAAATGTATATGCGTCCAGGCATGCTACTCTGTTGGGCAAAACACAATCTTGTCATCACAACCCTGCAGTCATTCATTGTAAAGATCTGGTTTAGACAACACTAAATCCAGATAATTTAGAGGGAGGCTCTGGGTCAGAAACAAAGCAGGAATGCTCCTGCATTTACAACTTTTTTTTTTTTAAAGAGTCACAGGTAGTCCTCGATTTACGATCACAATGGAGCCCAAACTGTCTAAGCAAAACATTTGTTAAGTGAGTCTTGCCCCGTTTTAAGTGAGCCTTCCCCTTAGTGAAGCAAACCAGCGTCCGCATTTCCTGCATCAAATGAGGAGAGCACATCTTTCTCCTTCTGTCCTGGCCACTTTCTACAGAGGCACAGTTTAGAGCGTTTTAGCAAACTGCATCCCTGTTTGGTTTGGTGGAGGCAGTGCCTGAGATAGAAAGTCCATACAGAGAGTGGCGAGGACAGTGGAGATTATAGGAAGCTCGCTTTCCGTTATTCAGGATGCTGCTTACAAGCGCTATGTGATGGGAGCCCGAAGCATTGTTAGAGACCTCACACACCCATTTTACAGTCTGTTGTTGCTGCTCCCCATTGGGGGAAGGTTTCGAAGTATTTCTAGGAGGACTACCAGATTCTGGAACAGCTATGTTCCCGATGGCATCTGTCTGATAAACTCGCAAGATTCATTTTTCTCGCCACAGTACATGTATACATCTGAACTAGACTATATTGTTTCTCTGTGGCATATATGTGGGCATATACATAATTTTGTATGTTATTTATTAACAGTATTTTGCCATGTTTATGTAGTGTCTATTGGAGGTGGTGACCCTTTGAGAGTTGTACGCAACAAAATTTCATTTTCATCTATGCCGATTAGCGTGCATTCCCAGTGACTATAGAGTTATTCTAAGTCTAAGCCTGAGAAAAGGAAAGCAAGACCAGAACCTGTTGAAACTGCCCCTCGGAAACACCGTCTCTATAGAAAATGATCCGCGTTGGCTTGAATCGAGTTGATTTGTAAAACTGGATCAGCAGCTCCCTAACCATGGCAGCCAAGTCTTGAATTATTTCTTGGCGGTGCTGCTGGACTCTCACAGTGGCACAGTAGCGGTTCGGATGGGCATCCATGCTGCCTACAACCTGGGGGAGAAAGCAAGGATGTTTCTTGTGAAGAAACAAACAAACAAACAAAAGCAGACCGCAGAATTTAGCACACAGCAACTTTAAGGAATGTTCCTCCTTTTGTGTTACAGCAGTATCTGCAACTGAAATAAAGCCTGTAGCAGTTCCACAGGGAAAGGGGCTGTTATAAGTACAGAATTCCCAGCCAGTCTGTTGTTTGGGAATTTGGGAAGCAGCAATTCCATCGCACCTGGAATCCGTCACATGGAGACAGGTTCACACAAGACAAGAGCCATAAAGCCAACAATGACGGGGTGATTGCAGACACACAGAGAAGAAAAATTACCCATAAAACCACATTTTCCAAAAGCACACCCACCCTAAGTAAAGTCAGTGAAACAGGCCTGCCATAAAAGCAGGAAAACGACTATTCTAAAAAATTAAGAAGTGCTTTTTAAGGCAATTCCAAGAGAAGACTTCTTCAGAAATATTTTGGACAAAGGATGGGGGAAAAGAAAGATGGTTAAGTAGGAAAAATAATGTCAGATCAAATAC